CTGGGTTTCCGATCACCGTCAGTGGCAGGGGGCTTCTTCCGTCCTTTCCCTTTCGCCTCCCAGCATTGTGCCTACATATGCAAATTAACCGCCATCTTTGTTGGCAGTTAACTGCCATCTTAGTTGGCAGTTAATTTGCATATCGCCCTGATTAGCCAATGGGAAGGGTAGCGGTCGTACGCTAATTACCATACGCTAATTACCATGTTTCTCTTTTATTAGATAGGATACTTATTTCTAATCCTTTTAAAATGCTGACACTCCTTCACATATCTTCTTCTCTGCCCCTGGAACAGGCTTGAGAACTGTATTCCTGCAGTTATAGCTGGAGTTTCTCTGAAGTAACTAAAATACTGAATTTTGAAGTCCAGTAAAACTGGCATTAAATGTGACTCTGCTATTTGCTACCTGCGTGATCTTGGCCAAGATATTTTACCTTTCTAAGCTTCAGTTTCCTCTTACGTAAAATGTGCATAAGAGTACTTTTACCAGAATTTTATAATTACATGACATATGGCATGCAAAGTGTTTAGCATAGCGCCTGCTTCATAGTAAGCTCAATAAATCTTGGCTATTGCTATTGTTAATATATCTCCCTAGGCCAGTGGTTGGCAAACTCATTAGTCAACAGAGCCAAATATCAACAGTACGACGATTGAAATTTATTTTGAGAGCCAAATTTTTTAAACTTAAACTATATAGGTAGGTACATTGTTATTAACTTAATTAGGGTACTCCTAAGGCTTAGGAAGAGCCACACTCAAGGGGCCAAAGAGCCGCACTTTGCCGACCACGGCCTAAGCCAACTGCAACAGACATGACTGGATGTCATTGGTGCTTCATCCCAGCCTCCACGGGGTCAAAAACGGGTTCAGGAACAAATAACCCATTCCTTCATTCACCCTTTCATCCACCGCTGACTGACACTCAAGGGGCCAAAGAGCCGCATGTGGCTCGCGAGCCGCAGTTTGCTGACCACGGCCCTAGGCTACAATGCAAAAAACCAAACATCCCCCCAAAACTCTACTTCTGCTCAGCTATCCATTTAACTTCCCCTTTCTCAACCCAGCCCTTAGTTCCTTTTGTTTTGAATTAACTCCAAAGATGTAACTGACAATTTATACATACTAGTACCAAAACTGTTATAGTGGCTGAGATGGTACACAGAATTAAAGTGCTGCAAAGTAAAATATTGTATAAGGAACTCACAGTTAGGGAGGAATTAGTGTGTAATGACAAATGCCAAAGAGACACAGGCCTTATTAAAATGCTTATTTTTAAGGTAAAGACTGTGTCTGATTTATCTCTGTATTCCCAGTGCCAAGCACAATGGCTGGTATGTGGTAGGTATACCCAGCTTTTTTTGAATGAATTCTATCTATAGGGGGATGGGAGAGAGGAAACGTATACATTCTGGAGTTTAACTGAACACATTCTCTGAACATGTCAAACATCAGTAGATTCTATTCTAGATTTAGAGTCTGGAGAGTTACTAGAGCATGGATGAAGGTTTGGAATGAAGAAATGGCTCAAGCTCTGAAATAACTGTGTTTTTCTATAGTACACCATCTTACCTTAGGTTAGATTGCGTGGGCTCAGTGCTAGAGGATGGCTCAAGGCTGATTGGAAGGATCTTATCATTCTTGTTATGATCATATCTCTAGAAGTAAGAAAAACAGAAATTACTTCCTGTGCAAAAACCAGCCCTTTAACTGCAGGGCATGGGTCTATATACTTCAACCCCACCAGAATATCATCAGCACATTTCTAGACAATTTTAGGACAGCTTTACATTTAAAATTAATGCAAAACTCCACACAATTTTGGCTTAAAGCTATACATTTAGAAAAAGAAGTTTAGAAGAAGCCTCCCACCAGCCATTAGTTCTCCTTATCTGGTAGGGAAAGAATTTCTAGTTTCAAATTCACGGGTGGCACAGGTACACGGCAGGATTGCCCTTACATTCTTATTTTAATGGTCACATATCACCTTTTACCATATTTATTTTACTTCATCCAAAACACTTTAAAATTTTGCTAGATTTTTGCCGAGTACCAAGCATAACATTCAACTCTTAACAGGCCTGAGTGGAGAAGAAAATAGTAATAGCTTTCAGCCACTGATACAGAAAACATTCTCCAGGAAAAGAACAGTTTAATTTGATGTGAGATAATTATATACTTCTTGTAAAAAGTAAAAATAATATGACAGAGCAACCAGGACCCTCTGGTCAAAAGACCTGCAGGAGAAGGGAAGTACGAGGCACAGAGAGTCTCAAATGAAAGGAGGAATGGAGAATGGTTTCTCCTGCGTGCCTTTTCAGTGAGACACAGAATGAGAAAATGACAGCCAGTCTGGCAAATGAGACTGGATTTTCTTTTGAGTAAAAAAAGTCTTTGGTAATTTTCCTCATTTCTATTTTCCAGGTAGTGAGCCCTGGAAGCTGAGAAGACTCTGTGGCTGACCACCTGAAGCGCAGGATCCAAAGTGTCTGAGCTCTGTTTTCCAGCTTGGACACTGAGCTCAAATGTTTAATTTCTGACTCTTCCAGGAAGCCTGTTGGGTGGAGTCTCTGATCAAAAACCCATGCTCATATAGCTAAAGACTGAAGCTCCAGTTTTAACGGCCACAAATCTTTTTGCAGGTCTCCCAACCCCACTGCAGAAGAAAGAGAATCAACTCCTGGGGTTACTCTAGTCCCTGTACTTCACCACCTCTTTCAGTTTCCCCAGCCAGGACAGAAAGCCATTCATTTTTAAAAATGGTCATAGCTTTTCCAGTGCGCTCTCCCAAGAGACCTCCTACAAGACGAATAAGGCAGTGTGCCACTTCTCAGGCCTTGAAGACAATACAGACCCTGCAAAGTACCAAAAATAACTCTCAAAATATCTGGTGTAATGAGATGCCAGTGTTTTAAGCACTCATGCAAACTACCCACTTCTCAAGCATTTAGAATAAACATATTCAAACTCTTCACAGACTTGAGAGGCTGGGGAGAGTCTAATAATGCCTAAAGCAACTAATTTTAAAAATAAATACATTTTTTGTTCCTCCAAAGAACCACCCCACCAAAAAAAAATGATAGAGGTCTGAGTATACACATCAGCCACATGGAAAAATCAATCAAAAACAGAATCTGTGGGTATGTGGAGAGAAACAATGAAGGAACTTAATCCCTCTTGAGATGCTTCTCAAAAGAAAAATCTGGCAACACACATGGTAAATACAAGTAGGAGACCAGAGTATGGCTGTTCCAGATGTGAAGAGACTGGGATGCAAATGGGTAAGTGGACAATTGTCTTTTGGAAGACTCATTAGGATGAGCTGAAGCTGCCTTTCCAGCGTCTCACACTTACCTTGACTTGAGCATGGGCCCATCGCACCACCAGCTTCTTAGACAGAGCCAGCTTGCCATTGAGACACTGGATGGCTTGTTCTGCTTCCTGTCCAGGAAAGGGCCTACAGTTAGTCAACAAGTCAAATGGCCGACAAGCTACATGTATTCACAAGGGCCTCATTAGCTTTGATGGCTGAATTTCTAACCGCACCACTTTTGGTAAACAATTGGCAAAAAGTTTACAAAGAAAAAAAGCAAAATAATAAAAAGGGTATGAATTTTTTAGTTAAACAAAAATTTAAGTGGCTCTGTCACTTACTGGCAGTTTAGTGTTTGGCAGGTCACTTATAAATCATCTCTCTGAACATTAGCTTTTTCACCTGTAAAATATGGAGGATACTTACTCCTCGATGGTTGTGTGAGGAGTAAAAGAGTACATGGAAAGCATGGAGTGTGTGGGAAGCACTCAACCAACATTAGCTGATAGTATTGTTATTAGGTGATACCTTCCTACCTACTTCTGTTAGTCAGGGTAGCACTTACTGTGTCAAGAACTAGTACTCCCCCCAGGAACCCTGGAACGGTATCCTGGACTAGGGCTCATACTCCCTGGATCCTAAGTCAGAAACAGTAATGGCCTCAAAGGACATGGGAGTGAAGAAAACTAAGCCGGAAAAAGCAAGAGTAAGTCAAAGAGACTGTGAGCAAGGTATCTGTGAGTCAATCTATGCACCTGGCTTTCCAAACCAGAAGTCCCCTGACCTTTTCCCTATCGGACACAGGAGCAACCAGGCTGAAAGGAATTCCTGAAGCTGGATAACAGGCACTCTAGGACATTCCCAGGAAGCCTGGCTGTACTTTTCCATCCTGCTGAGCCTTCTCTGCTCTGTGTGTATCCACAAGGCATTCGGCCAAGAGGAACCATGTTCACTGGGGGTGAAGAAGCCCTTAAGGAACAAAGAAAAGAAACGGGGACAGTCTATTTGTGACCTCAGGCATTCCAGTCAGGTTTCACTGGTGGTTGCTTTATTCCTCTGGAGCTTACCAGTATGACCTTCAACAAATACTTATTGAGTACTCACTATGTGTCAGATATTAGATAGGCACTGGCTTCCTTGCCTCACTACAGCACGTAAAGTTAAAGGGATGAATAAGAGAGACATTTTATTCTCCTTTGAAGTTTCATTTAGTCAATTAGAATTTACATGGCACTCTCTATTAATTCTGTAGCATCAACACTAATAAGATGCCAGCAGTGACAAATGCTTCAAGAAATAATTTCCTATCTCTATACCTTGTTTCAAAGTTCTTGCAGTCAACATTACTGTTAAATGTCAACTATGTTTTCCTATGCACCTTCATCTAGTCTCTCAACTTTCTATAAGGTAAGAAGGGTGTAGGCTTTTAATCCCCATTTTTAGATGAAAACTGAGGCCAAAGAGGTTAAGAGACTTGTCCAAAGTTAATAAATAAAAGAGCCAGAATAGAAGGTAGGCTTTGTGACTTCTAGTCCAGCAAGACCACAGATTTTAGTTGTCTGTAAGAATCATCATCACGCTCTATCATTGAGGAAAAATAAAGTATTTACAAATGCTAACCATATCAGGCATTCTTTCAGTTTCCCCCAAACTTGAACAATTAGAGCAGCAATGTATCACTTATTGCCTATCACAGCTGCAAAAAAAAATCCCCAGTATGGGGCAGGACAATGACATCTCAGCATACACTGACACATCGTTTCTTGACAACAATCTGGCAGTTGTATTATGAAAAATATGCATGGCCTTTGTTGATGCCACTCCATTTTCCTGAGTGCAGTAGATATGCATGGTTAGAGTTGCAAACGTATTCACTACTGCACTGTTTACACTTGTGAATCACTAGGGAGAACCTAAATAGCTAACAGTTAGTCAAATACCATATGTTCATACAATGAAATATTATGCGGTCATCAAACATCCTGTTGATTAGCTTTTAAACTGAGGTCTGCTACATGTAATAAAATGTATAAATATTAAAGATACAGATCAATGAATTTTTACATATTTATATCTATACCAGTGAAACCACAATATTATGATACAGAATGTTTTCTTGCTGTGTATTAGGTGACAGAAAAAAAATTTAGTATACTTTGAGTGCCAAACAGGATCATATGATCCTATTCATGTATTATAAGCCATATATGCGTGTATGTATAAAGTCTTCCAGGGTTGTTGTTTTGTTTGTGGGAATGTGAAGAAAGAAGAAGAAACTAAGAGACACATAACTAAAAATTAACTGATTATTTCTGGATATCTGGTTGATAAATTAAGCCACGTACCTACTGGGTATATTTTCATCTATAATAAACATGCTTTACTTTTATAATAAGAAAAACATCCAAATACAATTATTAATAAAACAATAACTAGACAATGTTCTCACATAAAACTAATAAAGTTACAGAGAGTACTGAGCAGTGTCTCTATATTTAATAACATTCAAATTCAAGTTCTTTATCAATGCGTATCCATCCCAAGGACAAAATTTTAATACAAGATACATGTATATATCATGATTGAGGCTGGATGTTTTCTTCCTTTAGATATATATTCAAATTTGTATGCATTTATTTGGAGACATTCAGAAGAAGGGTAAATTTTTAAGAAATTGAAAGAAAAAACCGTTTGTGGGTGGCTCACCACAGACAGGGAGGGCTTTTGTACCACAGGGCAAAACTACTGAAAGAGGAGGAGGCTTTGTTAGTCAGCCACTAAAGGAAAAAACAAAGCAGACGAGGGAAGAGGATGTCCATTTGCTTCATGTGGGCATCCCAAAGCATTTGGTCAGAAAAGTAGGTCAGCCACCTTTGTCCGAAAGCCTAGGGAGGGTAAATTTTGGAAGCTATTCACTAATTCTTTCGTTTACCAAGGACCTCCTTTAAGACTCAGAGCAAGGCACACAGGCATGAATCAGACTTGGCTCCTGCCCGCAAGGAACTGCTATTCTAGCAGTTAAGAGACATGCACAGCCGAAACCGGTTTGGCTCAGTGGATAGAGCGTCGGCCTGCGGACTGAAGGGTCCCAGATTCGATTCCGGGCAAGGGCATGTACCTGGGTTGCGGGCACATCCCCAGTGGGAGATGTGCGGGAGGCAGCTAATCGATGTTTCTCTCTCATCGATGTTTTTAACTCTCTATCTCTCTCCCTTCCTCTCTGTAAAAAATCAATAAAATATATTAAAAAAAAAAAAAGACATGCACAAATACTTATGGGAGAGTCTAAGTACCGTGAAAGGGGAAGCAGTCCAATTACCTGCTTGGTTTCAAAGTTAACGAAACAGTACCCTCTGGGCTGTCCCTCCAAAGCACCTGACTTGTGGAAAAGGAAGTCGAACTGCTTTACCGTGCCAAACTTCTGGAGGAGCTTCAGGAGGTGGTATCTGTGGGGAAAGCACAGTCCATGAGTACGCTCAGGGAATCTGTTGGCCAGTGAGCCTGAGTATGAGATAAAAGCAGGAGATAATTTACTCCAGGGATAACATCTCACGCCCTCGCCCCCTGCCTTCCTCCAAACTGCTCTGTTAGTCTATTTGGCAAACAGAGTTGTTTGCCTCTATTTGGAATGGGAACGAGAATTGTCATGGCTATGCGTCTGTCCAGCACAAAACTACCAAACAAAAAACCACACCTAACAAACAGCTGTCTGGCCCACAAGCACATTTGTTTTTCTTTTGGAGAAAAGCTCAAAAATAGTGTCGATTTATTTATTTTTAACTTCTTGGCAATGAAATAATATTTGTGAATAACTACAACTCCATCAGAAACACACACACTCCAAAACACACACTCACACTCCAAAAGTCAAAAATAAAGTAACACATACACAATCACACAAATAAGTAATCCAGAAAGACTTCCCTATTAGATTGCAGCATTAACCCCACACTGCGCTTGTGAGAAACTGCCCCAAACCAAGCCACAGCTAGTGGCACTTCCATTATTAAGTGCTTGAGTTTCAATCTCTGATGTGACTGAACGCCAGGACAATGTGGAACCACAATGTGACTGAAGCTGGTCTCACACAGGACAGGGAACCTGGCCAGTTCCATCCAGCTGTGGGTAACTAACAAAGCCTGTTTCTTAACACAGTTTAGACTCTGGAGCATGGTTGAATAAAACATATAGCTGGCCAGGGAAGAAATTTATTCCAAGCTTTTGCTTGCCACTCTGCCCTTCACTCTCTTCTTGGATTCCTTTCTCTAAAACTTATTTGGTTTCTATAGAGCTTTTAAGTTATTCAAACAGATGTGGCCTTAACAGGTTGCTGTGGCCAATCTCAATTCCGACTTCCTGTCATCTGATGCAAGGGTGAGACAAACCAACAGCTCTCCCGTTTCCTTTTCCTTTGGCCTTCCTCCTGGCATCCTCCACACTATTCAAATGGAGTCAAGGCTTTCTCTAAACAATGCTGTCCCTGTGATACTAAAAAGGTATCAGCCCACATGCTAAATCTGTTATTACTGGGAATTCGACCCCACAGGGAGTCAGTAAAGCTGTCCTTACAGCCACATTTATATTCACATTGTTTTCTAGGAGAAACTCATCAAGATTTTATTCTTGACTAAGAATCTCCTTTGGGAGGCAGAAAGATAGGAACTGGATCATAAGCTCTACTGAATTTGACACTAATACACATTGACAAGCAAGCCCATTATCCTGGATCAGGTGCCTGACAAAGTGGAGAAAGGAAGACACAATACAGGTCTTTTACTGGGGCAGGATGCAAGGATCCCAAGGTATCCTGTGGATATTCATCTGGTCTTTAGACCTATTTTGAAAGAAAAAACAACCCTCTCATTTTTAAACTCTCAACTCCCATCAGGAGACCTCAACTGTGAGAATTTAGGAGGTGATTCATCAGGGGAAAGGGAGACACCTCAGCGCACACTTCTGGTTTACTTGATTTTTTGAACAGCAAGAGTGAGTCTCTGAGCAGACAGATAGGCTAGAAGAGTCTCCCTCAACGTCTCTAATTCACAGCTGCATTTTCCACTTACTATACCCATTCAAACCATAACACTGCACCAGTTGCTATGAATGGTGGGTCAAACCTGTTTTTTTTTGTTTGTTTTTTTTTTTTTTTTTTAAAAAAAACAATCTAAAGGACTCTGTGGGCTGCTCATCTTTTCATTAGCTCTATTCTGCTTAATAGCCGGAAGGTAAGACGATCGGCATTTCCTAGGAAATGAATTTTAATTTACTCAGGGAAAAAAAAAAAAGCCAGCAGATTATTCTTTGAAAAGCCAACAAATACGTTTTGCCCGAGAAGCCCGACCTTAAGATTCCAGGAACATCTGCTTAGGTCTGTGTCTTTCAACTTCTCCAGGATTTCTTTTCTTGTTTGATAATTTCTTGAAATTATCGGAACACCGAAACAAAAGGAATGAAATGTTTACTATTTTGCTTCCTGGAGATGGGGACTGCAAGCTCTGATAGTGAAAAAAGCCTGAAGACTCTTGCTTTCACATCTGCAAGCACTTTCATCTGCTGCTGAAGAATGGGAGATCTTACTACTCACCAGAGCCTTGCTTCCCTGCTGCAGGAAATGTGGGCCCTGCAGGCTTCTGAAGCTAGAGAATTACTACACCAGCAACTTAAATCAGTGTGTTGTTGTTTTTTGTAATGGGTCTTTAAATGGCATTCCTGCCTAATGGCAAATAAGTAATTAATCTATACAAATGTTAAAGCAAACAACTACTATGTGTCAAAAACTGTATTAGGCTCTTGGACTATCCAGATGAGTACAACTAGGTCCCTGCCTGCAAGGACTTCACATTCTGGTTAGAAGAGGGAGATATGTAATCAATTACAGTGTCATGCTTGCACATACGGGTAAGCATAAAGATGAAGAGGACCATTGTGCAGGGAAAGGAGTGGTCAGTGAGTGCTAAGTACACAGATATATAGGTGACAAAAAGTCTGATCGATTGAAAGAGAGTTGGGGAGGCACTAAGAGATGAGGCTGCAAGGCAGGAAGGAACAGGTTATGAAACATGTTGTGTGCTTAGTGAGGGAATTTAAATTTGATGCTGAAGGCAATGGGAAGCAACAAAATGACATTTAAGATGATATTTAGTGCACAATTTGTTTCAAAGGAAAATTTCTTTCTAAACTTACAGAAATTGTTATGTGGCAGGTCTTCATGTTCTATGCTTTGTATGTAATAGACTGGTCTTACTGTGTTCCAAATTTAAGTAAGCAAACAGTAAAGACTGCTTCATAATGCATTTATTTTTCCTTGCATTCTAGTTTATCTGTTAAAGTCTGTATCAGAAGGACATTTCCACCTGGATGACTTTCCACTGCTTTCAAGTTTACTTAATCTACCCCAAACTGACCTCTTCCCCTCCACAAACTTTTGCCTCTTCCCAGCTATCCCAGGGGTCAGTGTGGACAAGATTCTTTTACATATCTCAGGCAAGAAACATTAGGATCATCTTCAACTCTCCACTCCTCTTCAATCACTTTTTCTTCATCTGATTCACCACTGGCCTCCAAGTTCACTGTCTCTATCTAGGGGATATTAATGGCAGACCTGTAGCTAAACTTCATTGTTAGCCTTGCCCCTCCAATTCATCCTTCATACTAATTTTCCTATTAAAACACTAGAGGCTTGATGCACGAAATTCGTGCAAGAGTAGGCCTTCCTTCCCTGGCTGCTGGCACCGGCTTCCCTCTGGCACCTGGGACTCAGGCTTCCCTCGCAGCCATGGCTTCGTCCGGAAGGATGGAAGGATGTCCGGTCTAATTAGCATATTATGCTTTTATTATTATAGATCATTTTCATGATATCAGTCTCTTGCTAAACACCCACAATGCGTCTCTTCTACATGAAATTCAATCGGGTGTGAATAACTTTTAAAGACTATTTTAATCTGATAGTATTCTATTTCTCTAAATATTTTCACTATCATTTAGTATTCAACCTCTCCTTTAGTAAAAAGGTCTTCATGAACCCAGCCAGTATTGCTCAGTGGTTGCGCATCGACCTACGAACCAGGAGGTTCCATTTGATGCCTGGGTTGCTGGCTCCATCCCCAGTAGGGGGCATGCAGGAGGCAGCCAACTGATTCTCTCTCATTTATATTTCCATCTCTCCCTCTCCTTTCCTCTCTCTGAAATCAATAAAAACATTTTTTTTAAATAAAAAAAAGGTCTTCCTGATATTCTGCTCACACAACAATCTTATTCCTACCTTTATTTATGATTCACCATTCATTTAGAATGCTCCTTCTTAGAGAATTTCTCCTGGCTTTATTCCTGTTCATACTTCTTATGCATAATGCTGTGGCTATTAATTTGGCCTTCTACACAGCACATTTAATATTGGAAAAAGAAAGCAGTATTAACCCTTCAGAGGAAACCACAGTGTGGAAAATAGACAATATCTAAAGACATGAACTTTTCAGTTTTTCTGTTGAAGATACTAGTTATACACACACACACACACACACACACACACACACACACACACATATCTAGTATTTATTTATTTTTAAAATCTTTGTTGTTGAAAGTATTACATATGTCCTTCCTCCCCCCCACCCCCTTAATGATATTTAGAGGTGTTGTTTTATAGTTAGATTTGAGTCCCATAATTTAAAAGAAGTCCTTATATTTTAAAATTTAGACTAGGATACTTTAGGTTATAACTATTCAATTATGTGAACTATTACCTATTTGTGCAAAGAGCACTAAATCAGGCTGTGGGAAACTGAGTCAACTCACTTAACTCTTCCTATAAAAGAGGGAAAATATCTGTTCCACTGGCTTCACAAGGTTGTCACACTCTTAAATAAGAGGAACTAATGCAATATTAGAGCTAGAAAAATGTTCAGATCATTTAGTTGAATATTCTCTTTATAGGTAAGAAATATTAAGTATAATGTAATTGAAAGGAATCAGAATATAGTAGAAAGAACATGAGTTTGGAATCTGCTACCTCCATAAATAAGAGTATGTCATCATTCCTCTAAATCCAAATCCCTAAGATCTGTTTAGTCATTTGGATATTCCTGGCCTCTAGCATGGCCCTAAAATGGGCAGTTTTGCAACCACAAAGTGAACACAAATAACGAGCAGCAGAATATTAGAGTGCTGGACAGTTCGTTAGGAATGCATATACTGTTGAGAGGAGAGCATGACTCCGATTAATAACTAACAAGCACATGCACATAGAATTACTACTAAAAATTGTGCGGTAAAGTTTTTAACTGTCGCTGGTTTACATATTTCTGTAACTATTCATGACAGCAAATACTACAATTTGTCTTCTAATAAGAGGTAAAAAGCATTTCTAGAGGAGGGGTATTCAGATCAGTTTATAGAAGAGATCAGGAGGAGGGATGGTAAAGAGTATGAATATGCAGAAACAAGAGAGATAAGAATGGTTTTGTTGAATGGAAAACAGGCAAGAACTAGTACCAATCTGTTGGTCGGTGTCAATTTCATTACAAAAACCGGAGGTGCTCTGCAAACTTCTGGCAAGTCATTAGAAGTTTAGAGATTTGGATTCAAACAATACTCTCTCAGATTGAAGTATAAGCCAGGCACCACAAGGTCACATAAGTTTTATCATGTAATCCTTTCAATGTTTGGGAATGACTGTATTTTAATAACTAGTCTAGGCTATTACCTACACTGAGAGGAACAGGATCCAGAAGATTCTCTGCTTCAAACACTTGGAAGGAAATCACATATTCCTACAAGATAAGACCTATCATACTAAAATGTTAGTTTTCTTTGTTATAATTAAGTAAATTAAATAAGGTAATATTAAGTATTTCAAGCTAATCATAGGCTATGATTGGTAGCTATGTCTTTAAAAAAATTGATTACTGTTTAATCAATTGGCTTAATAGAGAAAATGCTTTAAAATGAGGAGTCCATAGAGGAAAAAGAGTGAAAATGATCTCTGGTGATACAGAAGTGGGAAGCCACAGGTCGAAGGCCCCGACCTGCAGGTTAGGACTTGCCACCCACCTTTGGCCTTATGTAAAAAGAGCAGAGGCACCAGAGGGAAAGTTTTGATTCAGTGTTGTTAATGCTGTAACTGAAGAAAACATTCATAGACTCCAACTTACAACATAAACCGAGGTGGCAGATGCCCACTTGAACCTTCCTGACTAGCAGCAGGACACACTTAGAACAAAGGTCTCATTACAGGGAATTGCAGGCAAAACAATGAACCATTTCCACACTCCAGATTTCCATTCAGACAAGCAGGGGTAGGAATGGAAACCATTCTTGGGAGTGTCCCCTCACAAGCTTGGGTTTTAGATGATGGAAAGTTTTTCTGATCAACACACATTAACTGAGAGGCTGGGCAGATTCACACATTCATCCTCAAAGCCATGAGCCATAAAGAGAACCAAAATCAATGCACAGTCTATATTTCAGGGCCCCCATGACCATGGTCACATAATATGGGGCAACACAACCTTAAATACCATCATAATTTCCAGATGGACCGAGCAGTATCTACATTTAGCTGATTTGAGCTTGAGCAGGTTTAAGGAACTAAACTTTCTGTCATGATATGCTAGTTTACATCCCTTTTCCTGTCTCTTAATCTCAACCCTTAAATGTACCTCCTCTCATCCCAGACTCTGAAGGTTCCGCTGTCTCTTCTCCTCTTCCTTTTAACACTATTACAAAAGGAGTAACTACTAGGACTGATGAAATCTTCCACGCTTACTTTAAGCACTGACCCCAACTGGCTCAATCCACTCACCCGCTACCAACCACCACCTTGAACAACTGGGAGAAGGAAAAACATCTCCATTCTCTTTGCTCAGAAATTCCTTTCCACTATAATGTCCACAGTGGGAAGAGTGGGGAGTCAGGACAATTCAATTACTTTTCTGACTGTGGTGGGCAAGGCACTTCCATCTCTTGGGGCCTCTACTGTGGGTTAAGAGAACTGGACATATCAGAGGTTTTCAAATGGTCCTCATGGAGTCCAATAAGTGATTGCTAAAGAAAGGGTGGTAGTTACCAAAGGCTGTGAGTGCGCCTCTTCCCCTCCTTTAATCAGAGCAGCTCTGAGCTTTTACTTTATATATATGTTCTCATTACTTTAAGACAAGGTTCCTCAGATTTTAAGAGTTTGAAAATGGCTTAGCATAGGGCACTTGGCACACAGTAGGCACTCAAATCATTTAATGAATGAACGAAAACCAAAGGGACTGAGGTGATCTCTAAGATCCCTTCCGGCTCTGACCTCCCATGGCTGTTTAACATGAATTAAAGTCAAATGCTGCCCCTCTACCTGCCTATGAATATACTGAGACTTCTGCTTGTTCCTTCATTTTGAGGAAATCATGCCCAAAGCTGATTCTGGAAAATAATTTCCTGATCATGGGTACAAGGATTCAAATAGTTGATCTCTGGCAAGTAGAAAAAAGAATATAGTTTAAAGGCTATCCAAGTCTATGTCTTTGCAGTAGAAGAGTCCAAATGTAAGAAAAATACCAAAATAACAGGCTAATAATAACATCACATCTCCTTTAAAGACAACTGAAATGTAAGTAAAAGGGCCAAAATATATCCTACATCCTTAAAAATTCTTCTGCATACCACTGCAGACATCCCAGTTTCTAGGCGATGAATCAAGATGACTTTGACTTACTCTGTGATTTTGGGGTCCAGGTTGCCAATCCATAACCGGTGCCCTTCCTGTAGGGAACCCTCTGACAGGATGGATGCGTTCTCCAGGGGAAGAGTTTTGGTTTCTGCTTCCATCAATCTCTATTAAATACTAAAGGAAATGCGAACATTCAGACAGCTGAAGAGCAACACTGTGTGAACATGAGACTTCAAATTCAGTTCAACAAACATTTATTCAAGGAGGGAATGCCCTGGGCAATCCTTCAAAGGCCTCAGTTCTTCCACAACCAGGGCCCCAGCACCAGTTCCCTTGGGACAGCTCCTCTGGCAGCCAGAAAGTAAAAGCTTCCATTTAAGGTGAAAGGGGTGTGGTTCTGTGTGTAGAAACTCAAGTTTTCCTCTTCTGAAGCCAGAGGCTGACTGGGCAGGAGGCCAAAGTCTCTCTTACTACACGATACTCCAGTTTAACAATTATCACCCAAAGTAAGCCTTGGAAACCACCAGAAAGAAAGTTAATGACACCGAAGAAGATGGGTAAGGCGGAGCAACAGTGAAAGAGGCAATACAGGAAATTAAAGGCCATAGATTTTGGAGTTAGAACTGAGTTTGCAAGCAGGTTATGTGACTTGATAAATTACCTAAACATTATAGGCCTCCTTTTCCTCATTTATATAAATGGAAAGAACAGTTCTTATCTTACAGAGCCATTGGGAAGATTAAAGGCAGTGCATGAAAAAAATAATTAAATGCTACATCTGACAACAGTAAATAATCAATAAATATTAGCTATTATCATGTTTAATATTTTGAGAGGCTGGGAAGAAGAGATGAACTTCCTCCTTAGTTAGTCCATTTCTACTATTTACTAGTTTTGTAACATTGGGCAAATTATTTAACCACCCTGTGCCTCAGTTTCCCCATCTGTAAAATGGGAATAATACCCCATAAGAGTTGTGCAGACTTATTGAGTTAATACTCTTAAAGCACCTAACAAGCTTTCAATTAATGGTAGCTTAAATTATTACTAGTCTTAGTTCCTGAAATGTCTCATCTCATAGACAAAAAAGGAAAGTGAGGATTATGATGGCTACAGTAGTGTATAGAGCAAAAACCCGGTGTCAGGAGACTAGGTTTCAAATTTTGGCATTTCGACTGGAAGTCACTTCTCCCTAAGTTTCAGTTTCCTCATCTCTACACAATAAACCTTGCCCTGCTTATACCTTAAGGTTGTTGTGAGGACAAAGATGAGATGTCAGATATAAAATACAGCATTCATGAAAATATAATGCAGTGAAGAAGAGATAAAAGGGCTGGGAAGATGGCAGGCTGTGCCAGACTTCAGAACTCCCTGATACAGAAACGTGTCCTATATAACCAGAAGGGCCTCAAGAGGTTGGTGCGGCAGGAACTGTTTAATAACAACATTGCCATTACCTCTTACCATCTCAGCACAGCCTATAAAGTCTAGCACACAGTAGCCCCTAGATCAGTGATGGCGAACCTTTTTTTTTTTTTTTTTCAGGTAAGTCAGAAATTTAATTTGCATGATAACAATATTATGAAATCTGACACACAGAAACCAAAACAGAGGCAAGCCCACAGTTCCAGGTTCCATTGGGCACTAGGCTCAACTCTGATGGGAAAAGGAGAAGAAGAATAAGGGATGGAAAGCAGTTTCAGCAGCAAAGAACCCGTCATCTCTGATATCGATTTAGATAGAAAAAGAACAGAAACAATTCATGACCAAAAAGAAGCTGAAGTCTGCAAGGCTCAGGGGAGCCAAGTTTCCTAAGGGCAGAGAGAACCCCTTGGCTTGGCTCCCTAGGAAAGTGATGGTGAACCTTTTGAGCTCGGCGTGTCAGCATTTTGCAAAACCCTAACTTAACTCTGGTGCCGTGTCACATATAGAAATTTTTTGATATTTGCAACCATAGTAAAACAAAGATTTATATTTTTGATATTTATTTTATATATTTAAATGCCATTTAACAAAGAAAAATCAACCAAAAAAATGAGCTCGCGTGTCACCTCTGACACGCGTGTCATAGGTTCGCCATCACTGCCCTAGATAATTGTTTGTTGACTGTGTTTATCTATTCCCACAAAAGGGTATTCTTCGGCCTTTCCCACTCACATGTTCAATCTGTTTGGCAATGTGCGACAAGCAACCACTAACTGTTAAACCCCGGGCTATGTGCATAAAATAAAGACATGAATAACCCATAGCTCTTGCTCTACCTCCTGTGAGGAAGGTGAGACAGACATAAACAGAATCCCAGGAGTAAAAATAGGAGGAGAAACATTTTGTCTTCTCCCTGCTTTCCTTCCTTTCCTCCTACTTTCTTAAAGATCATTCATTCAAAGAAAATTTACTGAGGTTCTATTTTCCAGGTATTGTTTAGGTCAGTGATGGCGAACCTATGACACGCGTGTCACCTCTGACGCGTGTCACTCATTTTTTTGGTTGATTTTTCTTTGTTAAATGGCATTTAAATATATAAAATAAATATCAAAAATATAAGTCTTTGTTTTACTATGGTTGCAAATATCAAAAAATTTCTATATGTGACACGGCACCAGAGTTAAGTTAGGGTTTTTCAAAATGCTGACACGCCGAGCTCAAAAGGTTCGCCATCACTGGCTTAGGTCCTGGGGACAGAGCAGTGAATAAGTAAGTACCCACAGGGTACTAATATTTGGAAGAGGGGCAGGACACAAAAAAAGCAAAATAAGATGTAATTCGTGATAAGTGCTGCAAACACAACGAAGCAAGGTGACTGAAAAAGAATACTGGGGTTGGATACTTTGGAACTAGCGGAATGGCCTCTAAAGGAGATGATATTTGAGATGGAACTTGAATAACAGGACCTTCTGATTGTCTCATGTCTAAAAACAGAAATGATACCAATAGCTTCTTAGTATCACAGGAGGGTACCATCTTTAGCGGGAAGAGCACAGGAAATGGGCCCCCCAAAATCTGCATTCAACTCCTGGTTTTTGCACCCCATGACTGTATGACTTTAGTAAGTCATGATCCCTTCTCCCCCTTACGTGTCCTCTCCTCAGAAAAGCTCTTCCTAATGGAGGGAGCTCCTTGTTAGTCTCTATCACAGCCACCTTTTCCTTTCCACACAATACTGATTCATTTTCTGTGATTTACTGTTTTATCGCCCGTTTCCCTCACTAGAATGGAAGCTACCAGAGGGCAGGGCCTTGCCTATTTTGATCATGGTTCCATCCCCAGCGGCTCGTGGCCAGTGCTCAATATTTACTGAATGAATGAACGAAGCAAGCCACTTTTCCACTCGCAGCCTCAGTTCCTCTCTTCTTCCTAGAATGGGCACCATTATCCCTCTCTCCTGGGTCGTTAGGAGGCTAAAACAAGACAGTATTTGGTGACAGCTCAGCACAGCGCTTTTTGAGAAACGATGAAGTGTAGCGAGAAATCAAGATGGCCCGAGACTTTCAAAACCCTTTGACTTTGCAACAGCGACAACACTTAGATTGTTAACAGGGCTGACAAGCACGCTTTTTCACCTCTCCTCCCGGCGGAGCTGCAACAGCGCTGGAAGCCAGGAATAGTCACGTGGGGAAAAGGAAGTGCAGAGAAGCAGAGGCACTCGTTCCTAAGGGCTGTTAACGGCGGAGTCCCACGTGGAACCCCGGCTTCCCGACCCAGGCCTCGAATTCCCAGAGGCGGCGGGTCAACACTCGGATTGTTATTTCCGGGCCAGCGGCGGGACAATCCGGGGCGGGGCCTGAGAAGCGTCTTCCCCGGCCGCCT